AGGCTTAAACCCTGTCCTTTGCTATTGTTGCGCTATTTTTTTGCTATTCAGATTCACTTATTCAAAAAAAATCACATTATAACATTACAAACTGTAGTCAAGTTTATTTTAAGCATTTACTGCTGAGATTGAAGCCATCTCCAGGTTATGTAACAGGTATTCAGACACGGAACTGAACAAATCTCCAGTTTCTTGGGCTGTTTACTCTCGGCTTATTTGCCTCTTTCACTGAATCATAAACAGTTACTCTGAAGAACCCAATCCTCCATTTTGTTTCAGCTCCCATGTCAGAATCTAATACATTTTCATGTTCTCTGCATGAGTTATTTGTGACATATCTGCTTGCCCACAACCTTCCTCCTGCTATTAAATAGGAGTCTATGTTCCAGAGACAACATTACTCAATTTATATCATCATTTGTTTTCAATGCTGCCTTGTCCAAAGAACAAAGTGGATGCCTGCCCAAGGAAGTTCATATTTCCTTTACCCACAAGACCTTTACATCTAAGTAAGTTTCCTGGTGTCACTTTATATTGATGCCTTAAAAATTTATTTCAAGACGACTTTCCCAGATTCTTATAAAGCAGAAATAAACCTTAAAGAACCCATTAAAATATGGGTTAAACCTATTAAAATATATTTAGTATTTTCATTTCATCTTTTCAAGGATCATATACTGTATGATTACCTCATTCTTGATCCTAACTCTTTGAAAATCACTGATGTGGGAAGATTTTCTGTTGGATATTTTTAGATGTCTATAATTCTGCTTTTAAGAATTCAAGTAACAAGGAGGTGGAGGCCCACTAAATGATAAATGACCTGCTCTAATCTCCAAGCTCCAAAGGTACTGGTCCAGTCCTGTTCAAGGATTTAAGATTTTTCTGGACAGCACTGCTAATCTTCTAGAAACTCCATATTAGTGGGTTTTTGTTTTTGTTTTTTTTTTTGTAAGTAGTAAACTTGAAGTCTTTGTTTAATGTTTGGTTATCTTCTTAATGTTGTAACTGTTGTTAACAATGGATAAGATTATAGGTACATACAGTACTTCCTAAATTATGTAAAGTACTAAAATAATAGAATGGAAGAAAGATGTGAGCATACACAGCAATCAAAGCTCAGAACAAAGGTGTCTTGGCCAAGTGTTGGACCATGAGTCAGAATGTGTGGGGTTCAGGGTAAGGAAATGACATTGGTGATACTTTTATCGACAATCTCCATGTTAGGCATTTTACATATATTATCCCATTCAGTTCCAGTTTGGCTGTTGCTAGCTGTGTTTTCTTGGGCATGTTACTTAACAATTTTGTGCCTCAGTTTCCCAGTTTGTAAAAACAAAGCCAAACCAAAAAACTCATAGTTATTCAGAGTATTAAAGATTACAAGTACTTTGTTAAGGCTAGTGCCTGACACAGAGTAAATAGTATTGAATGTTTGCTATTCTCAATATATTTTCACTGATAAGGAAACTGAGGCTCTGAGTGGCTAGAGGTTAAAGAACTTAGAAGAGGATGGATTTGAAGCCCACACACTGTTCTCTATACCAAGCAGTTTCTCATTTTAGTCTTCGCTCTACGTTAGGCTAACTCTGTAACTTTAGGGAAAGTACTTAATAATTCTGGGCCTTGGTTTCATCATTTGTAAAACAAAAGTCTGTGAGTTGATAACATTTATGGCCCCCTTCAATCTTTACATTCCATAATTTTATTATGGGCTTTGATAACCAATGAACACTCAGGGAAAATGTGTTCCTCTCTAGAAGTGGGTAGGGACTAAAGCAGTTGACCCTGGGCGGGTGATAAATGGTCATAAAAGGTGAGTAATAGAATCACCAATGGAAGGTTCCCCATTTGGGGGAAAGGTCACCCCCAGCAGTTGGGTTGAAGATGTCTAAGCATCAGGGAACCTACTCTCCAGGCTTGGGAAGGAAGAATTTCTCGCTTGTATTGTTACACTAGACTATAGAAAATAACCCAAATTTACCTGACAACACTACAAAAGCAAGATAAATTAATGGCAGGTGAATTTAGGCTTTGTTTACATAGGAATGAAGGGAAAGGGGAAAGCTTTTCAGATTTCGGTAGCCATGTGAGCCTGAAAACCTAGGATAGACCTGAAGTTTCCATAGGCACATGAGAAAAGAGTTAGGTGGCACCAAGGTTATTTGACACCCTCAATCTGAAAGACAGTAAACATAGTTTCATTCCAAATGCTGAGTCATGCTTAAGGCGACAAGGAGAAACACTTAAGACTCTTAACTTCTCTGAGGTACTGGTAGGGTCAGTAGATCGTTTTCTGCTAAAATAATTAATTCATGTTTTTAAATTTAGTTATGATAAGTGCTTCCCCTCCTACACCCTCACTCAGTTTTCTCCCTTTTTAGCCCTCAACATGTTTGTTTGGTTTTGTTTTAATTCCATGAGAAGCTGTAGCAAGTGTATGTGTGTCGGGAAGACTTTTTTTCTTTTTAATATTGTTTTGTATCTAGTGTAATACTTAATTTTGAAGAGTAATTTCTAAATGAATGATTATTGCCCTCCTCCCCATAAAATTATCTTAACAATGAAAAGAAATTGCTTATCCATACGGGAAATTACATTACTGTTAGATACCTCAGTCAGCAGCCAAATTCTTTCAGTGGAATTCTTATCATAATAAGCAAGACCCAGGGGCAGAGGTAGAGAGGTGGAAAGCTACTTTAGGTACTCATAAATAGTAACCTAAGTTTTAAAGCATCATGTTCAAGGCTAAAAGGAAAAAATTATTTTTATCCTTATTCCTTCTAGAAGATACTGATGGAGTAAATACGGCATAGTTTTTGATTTTGTAAGTCTCTGTCGGTCTTAAAGCAGAAGGATCATAAACCTCTGCATTTTGAAATTATCTAGTGTATATATTGAAAAGTTAATTTTTTTACCACTTTTGCCTTGAATAAAAGTGGATGCCTAAGTTATGATGAATAACTACAAATCAGCTATGTTTTTATGCAGTAATTGGAAGTAATTATTTTACAATGATTTCTAATTAAAAATTTTTTTCAAGGCTGTAGTTGAGATTAGATGTGTATGGAGCATGGGGAAGAGGAGGGCTGAGGTGGGTTGTTTAGAAAAAGAAGATCCAGAGTAAGCTGTATGCTTATCATGCATGTTAAGCTTTCTTATCTCTCCTCTCTTAACCCCTCCCCTACACACCTTTTTCATTTGATACCTTTCCTGAATTCCACCAATGCCTAGGGTCCTCCTGCTTTTCTTTGGTTGCTTTGTGCCCCAGCCTTGGCAAGTGAAAACATGTCCAGTGCTTCTGAGTTTTCTCACCTCAAAGTTCTCTACCTCCTCCCATGTCCTATTCTGTCAGGGTCTGACTTGGATTGGACCATCATGGGTGGTCATGGGTTACTGATGAGAACTGAATCCCTGCTGGCTTGTTAGCTAGCAAGGTGACCAGGACTTGTGGGGAAAATAAACAGCAGACATAATAGGGCTCGGAACAAATTGTTCACCTGAGCATTCATTTCATATCAATGAACAATTATAGAACATCTATTATGTTATAGGGACTGTGCTAGGTACAAAAGTGAATATGTTGTCTCCATTTTCCAAGCACTGAACTGTCCTGGGAGAATTAGTGGGAAGAAAATCCAGGACTGGCACCTCAATTCTGCCAGATTATTCCTTTTCTATGCAACGTGTTGCTCTTCTAGACAAATGTTTAGGATTTGAAAAAATGTGAAAACAATGGTCTATTAGAGGGGTTCTCAACCCTGCCTGGGTGCTCACGTGGATCATGGGGTGGGGGTAGGGTTTCAACACTGGTTCCAAGCTGTAGTGTGCACCAGAATCACCTGAAGGGCTTGTTCAATCAGCTAGGCCCCTGGCCCCAGAGTTTAAGAATCAGGTAGTCTGGAGTGAAGCCGGGAATCTGCATGTCTATCAAGTTCTCTGGTGATGCTGGCTCCCCCAGCTACACTTTGAGACCCATAGTTTTAAAATATAAAGATTTCCAGGTTCCATTCACCGACTGATTCAACTGGTGTGGGGATGGGAACCTAGCATTGATCATTTAACACCCCCCACCCCCTACCCCCACCCCCCGCCCCAATCCCCCGCTGTTCCACTGGATAGACTACCCATTGGATGGGCTGGTTTCCTGTTACTATGAGTTTGGGACCCAATGAAACTACATATTCCTCTGGGTCAATTATAATAATTATCTGGTATTTAAAGAAATTAGTAAGTGACAATAAATAATTGGCTGAAAAAGCCCCACCCCTGCGATTTTGTTTCAAACTAATTTGGCTGCCTTTTTTTGGAAGGCCTTTCCAACCCTTCCCTGGGTATTTTCCAATACCACGGTAGAAACGTTACGTGTAACGCTCCCAGAGATCTTCGGAGGAAAGACCTTAAAGAAATGGGTCAATTTGAACCCCATCTGCGTCCTCCTTGGGCCCCTTTGGCCTCGCCTAGCACTTCTAGTGCCAAGTGAGCTGGGCATGCTCAGTGGGCAGGGTCGGTTCTCGGGGTGCAACTGGGAAGCTTGCAGCTCTGCTGCCCGGGCTCTCCCCTCCCCCCACCTGTAAGAGGCTGGGCCCGAGGAGCCCGTGCTCTGCATCCCACCCCCTGAAGCTTGGGCTTGGTTTTCCCTGTGGGTCTTCTCGCTGACATTCAGGCAGGGGTCAGGCGGCCGGGCGCGCCTCCAGAGCGCGCGGGGGGAGCACGGGCGAAGGCTTTGGGCTCTGACGGTGGGGTCCCAGGGGTCCGCCTGCCTCCCAGACGCGTTTCTAGGCCCAGGGAAGCCTGCCTGCCGAATAGGGGAAGCCAGATTCGGGGTCGGGTAACGAGATATCAGGTAAGCCAGCCCCGCCGGCGTGCAGGCGGACGAGTGTCTCCTCTCTCCTGGGCAGGTGGCGAGGGCGGCCCACAAGGGGGAGGGCGGAGGAAATCCGACACCTCCGCCGTCTTCCCCCGGCCTAGCCCCGCCGAGGCTTCCCGGCCCGCCAGCCGGCTGGCGAGGCTGGGCGGAGGGTCTCAAGTGAGGCCGGGCGAGGACGCGGGCAGGACTTGGGGCCTGGGGCCAGGGCCCCGCGCACGCCGCGCCGCGGCCCATCCCCGCGGGCCCCGCGCCCAGGTCTAGTCTTGTTCATTTGGAGGCGGAGACCTCGCTCGTTCTCTGCCCGCTGGTTCGCAACGCTTCCCCGCCTTCCCGGCCGGGTCCCCCGCCTCCATTTCCGCGCTTCCCCGCTGGGTCGGCGGAGCCTGGGCCCGAGGTATCCGGCTGGATGTGGCGGTCGCGCCGCCGGGGTCGACCCTCAGGGAGGGGAGCGGGAGGCGCGAGTTTCGGGGGAGGCGGGGGCGCGGCTGCTCTGGTGCGTTGGGTTACAGTCGCCCAGCTTGTTCGGGGCGAGTGACATCCACGCTCGCCTCGCTGCGAGTATCCGGACCGAGGCGCTAATTCGGGGGAGGCAGAGACTCCGCCCAGGCCCGCGGAAACGGGTGCTTCTGCTCTCTCTTCCCTCGCGCGAGAGGATCAATCTAAGGTGTGTGCTTCCCGGGAGACCCCCGTGCCCCCGCCCCCTGGGTTCTGGGGCGGGGGGTGGTCACTCTCTGACCGGGTGGAGTCCGGTGTTGGGGTGGGTGGTGGTAGAATCTGGGGAAAGATTTAGAATTTTTCCGCACCGACAGAACGTGGGCTCATTCTTACCGGGAGCGGGGCGGTGGGGTGGAATACTTTTGCCTCCTTGGTTAAGTGGGAGGACTTTGGGGTGAGGGTTGATGTCTAAATGAAAGTTTGCTGCAAACTTTTGGCTTGTGGGTGCCGCTCGTCTGAAAAGGACTGTTGCTCCCTTCTGAAGAAAGGGAGGGAAAGATTCTAGAAGGGGACTGAGGCTTCTTTGAGATCTTAGCTTCTGGAGTGTGACAGTTTTAGGAGGAAATGGAAGGTGTACCCTGATGAACTTCAAACAGACCCCACTCCCCACGTAGTAACTTCTGCGTCAAAAATAGACTTGAAGCGTGCTTCGGTAGCAACGTATAGCCCTGTGAATGGAGGGCTGATCTGGAGCCCTTGACCTCTAGACTGCCTTCCATCTTCTGCGGGGGGGCATTCACTCCGGGAACTGCCCTCCTCAGGAGTTCCAAAGAAGTTTACACATACAAGTTCTCTTAGTGACGGGGGCCAACCCAAATTACGCAACACTTTATAAATATCATAGGAAAGGGTGGGGGCAGCTATAGAAATAGCTGACAACTAATTTAGTCAACTTTTATACTTGTATAAATAGGTATGGGATGGAAAAGTAGGTTCCACTGAGTCCTCATTGCTTAAAACAAAACAATTTTGCATACGTTCCCAAGTTTAATAGATGGAAGTTTTGGAGTGTGGAGGGTAATGGGAACTGCCACACGGGGGCCAGGCACTTCCTGGTAGCTACTGACCACTCTAGTCGCTGAGTGCCACAGTTCTTGCTGGCCATGGACTGAGTGCTGGATGCCATTGCTCAACGGATACCATGTGCAGCCTGGGGAACCTTATGATGAGCATGTTGGAACCCTCCTGCTTTTCTCATAGGGGGATTATGTCAAGTTACAACACTCCCTTGGTTTTTCCAAATCAACTCGTCAAATGATGCAGCGGTACCTTAGTAATAATGGATAAAGATGGAATTTGGGGTTTGAGAACCAGCATTGTTGGAGCTGTCCATTGTGATGTCTCACATAGTCACTTTATTTTATAGACATTCTGAGCAGCATTAATACTCTGCTTCCTTCTCTCTGCCTCTGATTTATTAAAAGACGCAATGGCTTAAGCTCAGTGATTGACAAGAGGGCCAATCGTCAATGCCTCCCCTCTTGTTTTTGTAACTATTTAATCGCAGAGATGTTTAGAAATATTTGACTATCATTGTACATAAGTCATATTGGTGAATAATTATAACTCTCAAATTATCCCGTTTGCTATTAGTTTCTGCTTTCATTACTAGAATGTACATTCTGTGAGAGGGCGTGGACTGCCTCACACACTTTCATATTTCCAGTATCTAGAGTGGTGACTAGTTGTGATAAATGTTTTCTCAATGAGTGACTAAACTGTGGGACAAACTCTAGCTGGATGTAGTGGGGGAAGAAAACCAGAGATTTTGGCTTTAGGGAAACTATTCAACCTCACTGGGCCTCAGTTGTCTCACTGACAAAATGTAGATAATAATAGATGATATAACACGTAAAATCACTAGTGATGTTCCTTTCAGGTAGTAGACTTCAAAATATTACTTTCTTCTTTCTTATATATTTTACTTTTTATATTCAAAAAGGGAAGACTTGGGGAAAGAATGCAGATGGTTGGATAATTTAGCTCTTGCATGTTGTGAATGAATTATCCAGGTTTTTTCCCCGTTAATTTGGTGTGTGTGATAGAAGGAAGGGGGAGGGGGAAGTTAGTGGCAGCTATGGTTATTAGAGACAGGAAACAATTTCCAGATGACTATGTAATTTCTCCTCCTTATTTTTTTAATGTGATGAAGTTTCTACTCAGGTTTTCCAGAACTTGATTCTTTTTCTACTTGTCAACAACCAGACTCACTAGGTTGTCCTAAGTACAGAAACAACACTTTAGAAAGAGCATTAGGAATCAAACATCTGTAACACTTGACTTCTTAAATGAACTTTTCTGTAGTCTTGTGCAGCATTATATAGTAACAAGATACAGAAAAATATGGTTATCCTGCTTTTGAGAAGGTTAGAGTTCATTTAACAAGGTAGAACGTATAGATGTTGAACAGTTACAGACCAGCGTAAGATCTTGCATAGTACCGTACCCAATGGTTATGGAAGGGAGAGGTTAACATGCGCTCAAGTAGCTGGAGACAATTTTGTGGTGAAGAGAATATCACTTCAGCAACAGAGAGACTTAAAGTTTCCTGAAGATTACAGCGGATCATTTTTGTTTCAAGAATGTTTGCTATTTTGTACTTCAGTGTATTAAAAAGCCAAACAATCATATACTTTCAAAAGTAAACTTTCTATGGAAAAGCATATTAGAAACTTACAATACAATTCTGTACATGAACTAAATGATACTTTTCACTGTGTCTCTGAAGTTTTAAAGCCTAGGATTGGAGTTAAAAATTATAACTTTTCATTCTTGCCACTTTTAACACCCTTGCTTAAAACAAAGTGTCAGATGGCCTGCCTTTTACTCTCTCCAGTTGTATATAATAGGATATTGTTTTCATCTGAAGTTTCCGGGGAAAATTACTAGTCATTAAGTTTGGGATCCCCACAACTGGCTAATTTTAGATGGTGTTATAAAAGTGGTTTTAGATGCTTTTCAAAATACTCAGGAAATTCCATCAGGATTCATCACCTTTGAGATAAGAAGGCAACTTGGAAGTTGTTTTATAGAGGAAGAAGAAGCTAATAAAAGGGTGTGTTGTATATTTCCTTGTTTTAGAATTGTTGACATGATGGGGGAAAGAAATGTAGGCAGGGGGGAGAGATGATCAGATTCAACTGCATGTGAGAAAAACAAGGGCCAACGTGGCTACAAGCCAGGAAATGTCGAACAACTTTAGACCTCTTCCTGTATTACCTGACCAGGGATTGATCTCAGGAGCATTTTAGGAAAAGGAAGCTTGAGGAGCTAATGGTTTGAATACCTGAGGATGTTGAGGTAATGACTGTGGTCAGAGTTTGTCTAGAACTCTAATTTTGTGTCTTGATGTGAATGTGACCATTTTTGTTTGTTTGTTTTGGGTTTTTTTCCCCCTTGTTTCCCAGGATTTTCACCTTATTTTGGCAGTTCTTACTAGTTCTTTGGGTTAAATATTTCTTCCTATATCGTATCTGTGTTCTTATTTCCCATTTTTCAGTTGAAAATTTTCTGTTGATTCTTTTAAAATAAGGTTTCTGATTTGTGCAGCAGACAAAACATTGTTTCTGATTTTAATTAGGTCAAGCTCTGGTTCTGTTAGTTCACTAAAATTAGTGGGAAAAAATTAACTAATAGAAAATGTTTCCCTCCTAAGTAAAAACTTATTGTGACAAAATGTATTAACAAAACTCTAAAGCATTACTTGGGGATATCTTTTACTTTTTCTGGCAAAATGAAATGATTACTGGTGTACTTTATTCTGTAGCAGTCAGATACTGTTAAAGTGTGAGCAATGACTGTTTCATTTAGATTTTTCTAGCCTCAGATTCTTTAAATAGTGATATATCCTCTATGGAATTTCATATTTGATTATCCACCTATAATATCCTTCAAACCCCACAAATTATAACAGAGAGGCTATTTTCTGAAAATGAGATTTCTAGAAGCTGCTACTGTCAAATGACACGGGCTTCGAGTATGACTCGCTGACACACGCTTAGAAAGCTTTATTACTTACCTCAAACGCACCAGTGACCACTAAGTCTGGTTGGTTATTCACACTAGGAGCAAAAGTTGATGTTCAAGGTAAACATTTTAGGAAACTTTTCACTGGGATTTTATGAGTTTCAGTAAAACACAATGAATTTCTACCTGTATTTGAAAAGTGATGAAAATAGTACGGCTCAGAGTACTAGGTTCTCGAAAGTCGTTTTCCTTTTGTTTAAACGGAAGAAAGAAAGGATGTTTTGTTTCGCTGCAGTAATATCAGAACTGCTTTGATCATATCACTCTTTGTTCCACCCTTCCGTGGGTCACTCTGCCCTATTGCATTAAATTCTAAATATTTATCTTTGAATTCATGGATGTTTCTGGTCTTGCCCCAATATTAAACTTCTGCCCTTCTCTTCCTTGTGATCCAGTCGAACTGGACTACGTGAAATTCTCTAGATCTGTTTTATTCCTACTGCTGCCCCTATGCTAATGTTCTTCCTTCTACTTTACCTCTTTAAAATCCTACCAATCCTTGAATGTCCCGACCACAGGCTACCAGTTTTGTGATGCTTTCCTTCACTACCCCAGTGAGAAGTGTATTGTACATTTCCTAAACTCTTCAACTACTCTTTTTATGCCACTCATAAGTATCTCATTTACTCCTCTGTATGGTCATTATTTGAAAACATGCATAATTTCCTTTCCTGCAGAAGATCATGCAGAGGAAGGGCTGGATCTTATACAATTTTATAGACCTCGTGTGCCCAACCCAAGTCCCTGCATGTGGGGACACCTAGTAAATAGTTGTTGAATGAATGATTGACTCATAATTCGCTCATCCCTTAATTACCAAGAATACGTGATAGAAATGGTTGGGGTGTGATTGGACAGCAAGTAACACACAGGCAGATGCATTTCAGATAATCAGTTAAACTGAATCTTTATCTTTTTTCAGGCCTCCCTTTCTCCCTGCACATTTGGCAGTTCTTATATCTAAAGGATATTTGTTTTAGGAGGAGGAAAGGAAATTGCTGCATTTGAACCAAAGTTATAAAAGCAATCTGTGAAGAAAATCACTGGAGGAATCTGCAAATGAGGAGGTCATTTAAGATCTGCTAAGGAGTCACCTTTGTCAGGGCTCCTAGGGCTCCCTTCTCTTCACTAACTTCTCCCTTT